GAATATGGAATTCTATGATCTTGACATCCTGTACGTAATTGTTCGCTCGGTTTCTTGTAAGTCTCGGTTTGCATTTAGATGATGTCCTGAACTCTTTTGTTGATAAGAGTTTATTATGTATGTTTATAAACATGTACGATATTGATATGTAATACTTGACTATTTAACTCACCGAGCGTTGGCTTACTGTGAGTCCCTATTCACTGATCAATCTTCATTAAGCTTCACAACAATGGCAGATCTGGATTTATCTTGTAAGAACATCAAGAACAATATTATGAATATTGAGAGGAAAGGTCAAACTTTACAATTCTGGTCAAACCTCTCTTTACGTATATGATTTACAATGAGCTCTCTTACCTTCAATTACAAAGACAAGCTACCTATTTATATGGTCAAACCTACTAAACATAGTCAAAGTCAAACTCCTATAAGAAAAGTCAAACACGCTGACTTTTACAATTATAGACTATATTTAACTTTCAAGACGAATACAATTAATACTGATTTTCAGTCTTAACATTCTCCCCCTTTGTATTCAGACTTGAAAGAAATTCTGCACTTTAAGTCCTTGTTTGAACTTTGAAACTTTAAGCACAATATGTCAACTTTCAAAAGAAATCTTCAACTTGTAATCTTCAAGCAATCAACTGTTGAGATAGATTTTTTAGCATTCTCCCCCTCGAATGTAGAATCACGGTGATCTTCTCTTTTGACAAAGTAGATCAAAAACAAAAAAGATCTACAGAAACAATGTACAAAATGTGATCTTCAAAGGATCTTTAGAATTAATCTTCAGACTTTTCTTTGGTAAACTTTTGAAACATTGATCTTCTCATTCAAAATCTCTCAGTCGTTGTAGCACACAAATAATCTTTTTGTAATCATCTTTAGTCGCAYTTCTTYTTTTGAGTCTTTTGCCAATTTCGAAGTTACTCTCCCTTGATCTTTGCATCATATTCCCTTTAACAAAGTTCGGAAATGAATATTTCATTCATTATTACATATACTCCCCCTTATGATGAAATGAGAATCATTCCATCATACATAAGATGAATGAAATTTTTCGTATAAGTCGTCAATTCAAGAAACTGTAAGTAGATATTTGCAAATCCACTTATTTAATCTTTTCAGATTAAGGGAATGAGAAGATAACAACCAATTTCAACATATGAAATTGTTTTCAATCTTATAAAAAGATTGGCCTGTGAGTATAACAAATATACTCAGTACAAACGGATGTA